TACACTTTATTTTGATAGTCCACTTTAGACATTCTACTAACTATAAGTAACTTTGCAACTACATGTCTACTAATTCTCATTGATTTGCAACTGCATGTCTACTAACTCTCAGAGTAGACTGTTAGGTTAGGTTTAGGGTTAGTAGAATAAGTTGACAAAGTCTGTGTGTTGTATGTTGTGGACCCATCAAAATAAAGTGTTAGAAGATATGATGCAGACAATCTACTAATACTCTATTGACTACTAGTTGACATGTAGTTACTTACTGTTAGTAGAATGTCTAAAGTGGACTATCAAAATAAAGTGTTACCTTTTTTTTTTCAATATCAAATGATTTTCACGTAATCCATTACTGGTTTTTACTGGATTACTGGTGTTATTTTACTGGATACTGGAGTGCTCAACTACAAAATTACTCAAATTGCCCGTCTCAAATCTCCATTTAGCGTTCTCTCCACCCTTTTTCTCCTCCTGCCCTTGTCTTCCTTTTCTTCCCCCGTCTTTTTCTTAAGCCACCCCCTGTATGGCAGATAATAGCAGCAGCTCCACCAATGCCATTCAATCCACTCACAGCCCTGTAGACCACAGCTGCTCCTCAGAAAAGATGGGGGTGGAAGGAGGCCTAAATGAGATGGCAATAAAAACCTCATTCAACCGCCGCTGGAGTAACCAACACTGACCTGCCAGTTCCTAAATACACTCTACTTTCTCAAATAAAGCGCTTTGTTCTCTCCCAACACGTGTTTGTCCAGTCGTTCCCTTTGAGGATCCATTGTCATGTCTGTGTTAAAGATTAGACGGTGTGTTGGTTTTATATATTCAGAATATCTTTCTGTAATTGCAGTCTAGCTAATCTGAGGTCTGCCCGGAAAAATGCCATCTGCGTTTTCACAAAATTATTGATTTCCCATAAACATCCTCTTTGCCAGATGCTTTCATGCATCTCTTTTGGAAATGCACATGTCCTAAACCACTTAGATGGGATGCACTTGACCGTCTGGTCATTTTATACCCACATGAGCTGTTTGGCTGATGATTTAGCTGTTTGTTTGAAATGCTTCTTTGTCCATTGCAAGTGGTCAGGATGTTTAGTCTCCCAGGGATGTCGGATAATCATCATTGCAGGATTCTTTGATCTTGAGATGTGTTTTTGAAGTGGACGATTTCTAGTACATGTCTTGTCTTTCAAAATATGGCTTTTTTATGACCTATTCTGCTCTGGCTTAAAATGCACTTGAAGCTGTACTGAAAAGATTGGCTGATATATGTCCTTGGTTGTAGCTTTCAGATGGCAGTGACTCAAACGACACATGTCATTCATATTTAAGAAAAATGTTGTCTATCACATTAATGTTGCAGTTTCAAACCCTCAGTCAGTCTATTATGACATTTGGGACTGAGTGTTCAATAGACCTTCGATCGTTCAGACGAATTCTGATTAGTGCTGCTGTCGACTGAGATGCAATGTCACATGACTTATTGATTTTGCAAAGTATTAATAATTCAGGAGGCCACCTCCAGAGACATCACATGCGGTGATGGAGCAACAGGAGATGTTTATGGTAGATTTTCAAAATAATAATGATGCAGACCTCATATTTGTACCATGCACCAGACTCAGAGATTGATTGATTGATATATATTTTTTTTCATATAAAAATAGTTAAATCTCATGAAATCAACTTATTTTAAAACTGTTAAAGGGCGAAGTCTTATGTTTGTGAATAAAACACAAATAATTTCTCCTGTATTGTGCATCATACTCATAGTTTGTCATACTCATAATTGTTTTTAAGTAATCCAATACAATTTTAATGAAATTAACCTATTTTGAAACTATTATAAAGGTGATGTAGTCTAATGTTTGCAAATAAAACACAATATAATTTCTCATGTACAATGCATTATAATCATATTTTGAAAATTTTTAACAATTTAACATATTATTCAAGTGATTTTCAAGTAATCCATTGCTGGTTATTACTAGATTTCTTCTTATTTTACAGCTCTCGAACTTAGACCACCAGAGTCGGAGTGTAAATGTTTGTTCTTCCATACTATTTTGGCTTGACTTTGATCCACTTTAGTCTAATAGCAGTGTTGAGTTTTGTTTACTTTGACTTCTGGTGGGAGTAATCGGATTACAGACCTCATTCAAATCACTAATTTCAAGATGTGGAGCACCAAATAACAATACTCCAAACTTCATATACTCCGGTTATTGGTGTTCATCAAGCATGGTTTGGTTTGCCAGTACTTAATTCTTTTAAATTACACAATGCATGGTGTCTAACACTTGCATACTGTACCACAAGAAAAACAAATGTCACCAATCTGGACATTTAATTTATCTCATATTACTCACAGATTTTGGTGTGAATGTTATCTTCTTTATTTGCCATGCTAACTAATAAACAGAGAGAAATCTTTTCAGACATTTAAAATGTCACTTGTCATGTCACGAGCAGATCTTCAAAACAGTGCCAATGTGGGAGAATCAATAGAATTGAGCCGAGTGTTAATTAGGGAACTGTTCCTCAAGAGAAATGAGAGAAAAAAAATCAATATGGACATAATTACATTCACCAGCACTTGTTCTTCACAACAAAAGTAGATGATTGTGAACGTAATTAATCTACTGCACTTGCTGAGGCTCTGTCATACGTATTTGGAAGGTATTGGTGACCTTACAAGCTCTTATGAGTTTAATTCTGCCCAGATCTCTCTCCGTTTACAGTCATTAAGCTCATATTGACATCTCTCTTCAAAGTGACTAATTATCTTTTGGTATTTCCTGAATTAATATTAGATTTTAGCTTTAAATAATTTACATCTATATTTATTCATGCAGCCTAAAACTTCAGCAAATGCACATAGCAACATCTTGACCCCTTAAAATTACAGGTGTGGTGCTCACACTTTCCAGATGTGATTGTAATGTCACTGTAGCTCCTCTAGGGGGCAGCAGTGAGAACTGAGGCTGTTTAGAGCTTTGCTACTCACTAGTGGCGCGTAGAAGCTATTGCATGATACACCTGAACACAATCTACATGGCTTTCATCTGATTGATAGTTTTTACATTTTTAGCAAATGGCCTTTTAGTATAATTGTACAAGCATCCACCTGCAGGTCGTGGTACACGTGTCTTTTTCCTGGGAAATCTGTAATGATTTTCCTAATGTAAACAACATATAAACATAACATATGCACCAAATAGTTTTTTTTTATGATCTTTTTGGACCTTTGAATGAAGCTGACATGTTTGAGGAGTGTGAGCTCCATATTCTCTCTATACTATACGAGCCGAAGCCTGATGTATCAAATATGATACAAAAAAAACCAAACATTGGTAGTAGACTATTGCGCAAGGCATTGAAATTGTGTTCTAGAAAAGCCAGTGAGATGTAAGGTATTGCTTGCTTAGACCTAGACCCACCAACCTGACCGTTTTTGGCAGACATTCTGTGATTTGAGTCATTGTTAATTATCTGAATCTCCATTGAGTGAACGTTTTTAATTTGTGATGTGAAAGTTAATGATATTTCAAACAAAAGACAGATGCTCTCTTTCGTTCTCCAGTCTTTCCATGTCTCAAAGATGCATTGGAGATCCCTTTATGAACACGCAATTTTTATTTTTTTTAATTATTATTTATTATGATTTCATGAAATGAAACAGTAATGCATAGTATTTAATGCAAATTTATATGCACATTTAGAATGTTGCACATTCAACAATGGTTAAAAGTGTTGACACTATGATTACATATTAAATACGAACCAGATTAAAATCAACTAGATGAGTAAAGTTTGAGAACAAACTCTGAAGCTGGCTTGAGAAAGACTAGGCTAAAATTTGAACATTTAGATGGATGGATTAGATAGATGTTGCTAGCATATGGCTAGAATGATTTATCACCTTGCTTGTATAATTTAGCATGTTTAGCATAACGTGTTGTAGCATGTTGTTAACATGTTTTAACACATTGCTAGTAAGATTAATGTGTTGTTAACATGTTGTTAGTATGACTGACATGTTACAATGCTGTTATCATGCTTCTAGCATGATTAGTATGTTTATAGCATGATTAGCATGTTGTTAGCATGATTAGCTTGTTGTTAACATGTTGCTAACATGTTTCTAACATAATTAACATGTTGATAGCATGTTGTTAACATGATTGACATGTTGCTAGCATTATTAGCATGCTGTTAGCATGTTTTAGCATGATTAGCATGTTGCTAGCATGTTAATAGCATGATTAGCATGTTGTTAGCATGTTTTAGCATGATTAGCATGTTGCTAGCATGTTAATAGCATGATTAGCATGTTGTTAGCATGTTTCTAACATGCAGCTGGCATGTTGTCCTAGGATAGTCATTAAGCTTTGCTAGTAACAGACAGTTTAAACACTTATAAATCTTATTGTACAAAAGTTTTGACCCCCTCAATGAAAGTCTATGGGACTTTTCGTAGTTTTGTATCATAAGTCTGATCAGGTTGAGGCTGTAGAGGTTATGCAGGCGGCCGATAGCCGCAGGAACCTGCTCCAGATGGTTGCTGTGCAGGTCCAGCAAACGGAGGTTCACGAACTTGTCGATGGCGTCTGGGATCTTCTTGAGAAGGTTGCGGCTGAGGTCGAGCTCCTCTATGTCGCTGAGCTTCAGGATGCACTTGGGAAATGTGGCGATCGCCATGTTGCTGAGGTCGAGGCGACGCTTGCCGTCTACAGTCACCTTCAGAGCGTTTTTGGCCATCTTGAGTGTGATTTCTTCTTCCCCTTCACCATTGTGTCTAGGAACAATGCAAGATTGGGTAAGTTTTTTAGGAACAAGAGTAATTTGTGACCCTGGACCTCAAAACCAGTCAAAAGGATTGATGGAGATTTATCAGAAAGCTGAATAAATCAGCTTTCCATTGATGTATGGTTTGTTAGGATAGGACAATATTTGACAATCTGGAATCTGAGGGTGCAAAAAAATCTAAATATTGAGAAAATCATCTTTAAAGTTGTCCAAATGAAGTTCCTAGCAATGCATATTACTAATCAAAAATTAAGTTTTGGTGTATTTATGGTAGAAAATTTACAAAATATCTTCATGGAAAATGATCTTTACTTAATATCCTAATGATTTTTGACATAAAGGAAAAATTGATAATTTTGACCCATACAATGTATTGTTGGCTATTGCTACAAATATACCTGTGCTACTTAAGACTGTTTTTGTGCTCCAGGGCCACATTTATGTTGGCTATGCCTAGTGGGCAGCATTTTAATGCATTGTAGACGTGGTCCCATCAATCCCATAATGCATTGACAAGTTATTTGAAAAAGTCTAGCCAAAAAGGTGGATCATGTGAGAGAAATTATAGATTTCATATGCTGAAATCAATAAATGTATCAATTAAAACATTTCAATTAAAATTGACCTTTTGACCCAATACATATACTATAGGGTAAAACAGGGCTAAAGGCACACAGAAAGGTACTGTACATCTTTTTGTTTTTGTAATATTCTCTTAGTGTATGACTGAAAAAAAAAACAATTGTAATTGAACATCGATGGAGCAAATAAATCATATAAATAGGTTTTAATTTAATTTAATTTAATCTAATTTAATTTTATTTATTTTAATATCTATTTTTTGTTCTATTTGTTTAGTTTTACTTAACATTTTTGTTTAACTTAATTTAATTTTAATTTATTTTTCATTTAATTTGGTTTTACTATTTTATTTTTGTTTTATTGTATTGCATTTTATTTTTTATTTTTTTATTTATTTTTTGTTAGTTTGAAAGTGCCACCATTTCCACAATAATAACTGGTGGCTTGAAACTGTCTGGTTTCATGTCCGTTGCTTCGTATGAAGAGTTAAGATGCCGGAGAAGGCAGCAAGGCAATTTACTGCATTTTGGAACAAAGTTGTTATATAATGTTGAAGGTTTCTTTATGCAAATTCACAAGCTGTCTTTTCTACTCTTGATGATTAGTAGTCCGGTCCCTGGAGACACATTACAGTCGTGTTTGACAGAGGTGACTGTCATGCTCCAGCGCTGCTGCTGAAGGACACAGAGACGAGCGCGTTGTCTAATGAAACGAAACGCTGCCCAAACTGCAGGCCAGGCTGGTGTTCTTGCATTACATGAATGTATGCCAGCACACGGCTCACTGTGCCAACCTAAACCGGCCTTACAGGACAGAAAACACGCTAACACTTTACTGTAAGGTTGTTCATTTACATCAATGCATTAGAGATCTTGAACTAAAATCAATCAATGTTTACAGTTTGCTTTTAAAAATACTATTTTTCATTGGTAGTTCATCTTTATTCATGATACATTAACTGATGTTAATTTAATTCATGCAACTTAAAAATGTTTTATTTTGCATCACTTGCATGCAACTTAAACCAACACTTTTTACAGCATTTATTAATCAAAGTAAATGTTCAGATTTAAAATACTATTTTCTTTGTTAAGTCATGTTTATTCATGATACATTAACTGATTAATGTTATTTAATTTAAACAACTTGAGATGTTACAAATGTGTTAGTATATGTAGAAAATATTATTAATCAAGATTAATAAATTGTGTAATTTGAGTATTGTTAATCTTTATTTTAGGCAATCTTACAGTTATGTTTTACAGAAAAATCTATCTGTTATTTGAAACCAAATTCAGGCAATATTGGTAACACTTTACAATAATTTCCATTAGTTAATGCCCTAACTAACATTAACTAACCATGAGAGATACACTTGTTACAGTATTTATTCTTTGTTCAGTATTTTTTTTTAATCTTTGGTATCATTAGTTAATAAAAATACAAATGTTCATTGTTAGATCATATTAGAAATCAATAATATTAACCTATAAGTTAGATTTGAATAAACTATTAGTAAATGTTGAAATTGACATTAATAATAAATGTGTTATAATTGTTAGTTCATGTTATCTGTTATCCATTGTAGGTAACAAATGTAAGCTTATTGTAAAGTGCTATATTTGTAAAGCAAATGACAAAAACAGTAGTTGCATCTGTAGGTTAACATTGTGCAACCTAGCAATAAAAAAATAAAACAAGCACTTCAAATATGCACCGTGCGATGAACAGTGCAATAATAGTTTAATGCCATTTTCACAGTTCTTGAAAAGTAAACAGATATATCTGAAATGCATTCAAAATGGCAAGCAACATTATTACAGAAATGTTTGTTCTTACTTGCTGTGATTGGATCTGTGTCTCTCAGCTGAACTAGTACTGTGTTCATTTCAATACGGGGCCGTCTTTGTCAGGATCCGTGCGTGTGAATAATGCACAAGCTTCTCTCGGAAACCCTGTAAGTAAAAACCAGCATGCCTCGCTTCATTTCCTCGGAGCAGACAGCACTGCGTGTTGCTTGGCTCCGTGGGTTTGCTGTGAAAGCGTGGCCTCCATGAGGACGGTGTGTTTGGCTGGATCTCCAGGCAACAGAGAGCTGCCGTCTGCTGCTGCTTTTATTGCTCAGTTGTTGGTTTGCAGAGTGAGTGAGGAGCACAGTTTACAGTGGCTTGTTTTTTAGTAGAGGACAGATGTGTTCATTATATGTTTATGCACAAATGTTAGTATGCATGTTTCAGCATTGTTGTGGTTAGTTGTTTTGTGGTTAACCTTTACCCTTTGAGATCAGTACCTGACAGAGAGCTAGTTAGAAATGGATATGCAGTAGTTTGGCTGAATGTAAACTATTCTTGAATGCAAGCCGGACTCAACTTTTTACAGTATATGCTATTTATGGTATATGGTATACTCCACACTTTGTGTTTTACAATTAATAAGAGGCTTTGTTATTGTATTTTTAAATTTAATTTAATTTAACTTTATTTTTTATTTTATTTTAATTACATTTTTGTTCTATTTGTTTTGATTTACTTTATTTTTTTGTTTTACTTTACTTTATTTGACTTTTTAATTTAATTTGGTTTTACTATTTTATTTTTGTTTTACTTTATTTTAGGTTTTCATTGAATTTATTGAATTGAATTGAATTGAATTGAATTTTAGGATTTAATTTAATTTAATTTAATTTTAGGTTTTAATTTAATTTAATTTAATTTAATTTTAGGTTTTTATTTTATTTTATTTAATTTTAAGTTTTTAGTTTTATTTTATTTTAGGTTTTTATTTAATTTTAGGATTTAATTTAATTTAATTTAATTTAATTTAATTCTATTTAATTTAATTTAATTTAATTTAATTTAATTTAATTTTATTTTAGTTTAGTTTGAAAGTGTAACCATTTCCACGACAATAATTGGTGGCCTGAAACGTTCCGGTCATTTTACATAGCATCACCTAGATCTTACAGTAAGCGGAGAAAACTGTTTTTCTTTCAGATAAGTAGCAGGTATGCCTTGGTATCATCATACAAGAAATAGGATGCATCTGACAGTAAATCCCAACTAGATTTATTTTTGACCTGTTAAGTATAACATTTCACTTACAGTCACGCAAAATATCAGTACGTTTGCCTTTGCGTTTTAAGACCAAGAGAGGGCAGCAAACTGCTTTGATGTTTAGTTACCTGATACATGATGCAAAAGTATTTTAAAAGCATGCAACATGCATGCAACTACCGCAAAATGAATTGCATTTTCTTGTAAAGAGAATGTATTTTTATCTTTTAAAATCTCAGAACTGCAACTTTGCGTGTTTTTCTGCAGCTCAGCCTCAGATGAGTCATGGGTAAAGGTGGCTCACGCAGATGTTTAGGTGAGCTCTGACTCTCTCAGTTCAGTCAGACTGAGTGTATTTGGATCAGTAGGTGTTATCTAGGTCATTTAGGTAAGGTGACGGCTGGTCTGGATCATCACTTACATCCCCTCATTTTGCTAAGTAGGACGTGTGTCCTTCTGCTGAGTTGGATGTTCTTCCGGATCTACGTCCTTGTTAGGGTTTGGAATAATGGCTATGCTTGTTTGATGGAGATGTTGAAAATGATGATCCAGGAACACGTAATGCTCTGTGAAATCATGGTCACGCACCCAGACTGCTGTCATTAACCAATACATGGTCTTTTCTCCAGCCTTTGTTTAGTGATATTTTGGATACAGTTGAATGCAGACTCACAAAATCTTATTATATATTTTAATGATGAAAATAAATAAAAAATCCAGGATCTTTTGGTATTATCTGACTGTTTTACCTTAAAATATCTTTTTGCATAGTTATTTTTTTTTATTTGTTAAATTGTACATTTGTATTTACTGTATTTTGTTTTTCTTTAAACTTTTTTGCACACTATAACTTACTAGATCATTTTTATTGACATTTATTTTTGCTTGGTTTTGTAATCGTTTAAATATTTTAAAAGTTTTAAATTGTGTTAAGTTACATTATATTTACTGTTAAAATTATTTTAAAAGAACATTAAATGTAAAAAAGGTACACTAAAGATTTGGACTTAGAAATTACCAATAACTTTTTCAGATAATACAATTTGGTGTTATTTTACTGTATTTATTTTAAAAGAACTTATTTCAAACTCTTTGCACACTTTAACATTCTAATTTTTTGTACGTTTTTAAAAGTATTTCAATAACTTTTATTTGTGTTAAATGATATATGAAGAAACTGATAAACAAAGAAAAATACTCTGAAAAAATACTTTGAAACAGTTTTAACAGGGAAAGTACTTGTAACTTTCAAAAATAATTTTATTTGGTGTTTACTGTAAGACCTCTAAACCTTTTTGCACACTATAACATCCTAGTTTTTTGTTCTGTAATTAAGTATTTTAATAGTTTTTATTTGTTACATTTGTACATTATATTTACTGTTAAAAAAAATAAAAACATCCCATTTAAAAACTACACAGATTTTTTTTTCACTTAGAACGTACTAATAACTTTTACAAATAATATAATTGGTGTTTTTTTTTTCTCTATTTGTGTGAAAAAGACGTTGAAAGTTTTTGCTTTTTTTTGCTTAGTTTTGTAATTCGTTTTTTTTTGTAAGTACTTCAAAATCATGTTACATACATTTGTATTTACCATTAAAATAATGAAGATTCAATGAAATAAAAGTACACAGGAAATAAATATTAATATTATTATTTTTCTTCATTATGTTTACTGTTAAAAATAGAAAAAAAACTTTTTTTTTCACTCAGAAATTGCTAGTAATTTCACATAAAATGTTATTTGGTGTTATTTTATTGTATTTGTTTTAAAAAACCTTTTTAAACCTTTTTGTGCTCTACCTTAATGAAAGACATCTTTTTTTTTGTGCTAAATTAAAGATTAATATCCTCACCAAAAGCCCATCAGCAAATTGCTTGTGTGGGAAAGGTGATCTAAGGGCTCACGACACTCACACACACACACACACACACACACTCACGCTCACGCTCACGCTCACACACACACACACTCACACACACACACACACTCACACTCACACACACACACACTCTCACACTCACACACCCGCACTCGCACACACACACTCACACTCACACACACACACACTCTCACACTCACACACCCGCACTCGCACACACACACTCACACTCACACACACACACACTCTCACACTCACACACCCGCACTCGCACACACACACTCACACTCACACACACACACACTCTCACACTCACACACCCGCACTCGCACACACACACTCACACTCACACACTCACACTCACACACACTCACACACACTCACACACTCACACTCACACACAC